TCAATGTTGACTGGGTTCTCTAGAGAAGCAAAACAAGTGGCAGGTATATGTGAATATAAATAAATTTATATCAAGAAAGTGGTTTACACAATTATAGAAATGGGTAATTCAGTCCAGTTCAAGTCTGTGGGTCAGATAGTAAGCGGGAGGCTTTTCCTGACCCTTGTAGCATGTAGCTGACAAGGCTGATCAACCAGGAAGCAGAGAGACAAGCCTAGAAGCAGGAAGGTCCCAGGCTGGTGGTGGAGGTGGGGAAACCAAGATCAGTAGGTTAGGCTCATGGCTGCAGGATTGAATGGATTCAAGGTTGGCAGGCAATATGGCAATGTGGCGGGCAATTGATAGCACCCAGGGTTGGTAGGCAATATGATGGGCCATTGGCTCAAATCCAAAGAACCAGAGGCCGATGAGACAAATGCAGGATCTAGGCCAGCAAGACAAGGCAGGGGCTGGGGGTGGGGAGGGCCTTCCCATGGGGGTCTGTTTAAACAGTAGTAGGCCACACCCCAAGGAAACATCCTTTCAGTTACACTGGGCTTGTGACCCAAGGAAGGAGGCTTCACTCGTGGAATTATTTACATTTTCTTAGGTCACATTATGAGGGGGGCTTCAACTGCCCTCCTACAGAGACTATTGACCCAATTAAGTTGACACAAAACCTAACTACCATAGGCTCTGAGGAAAAGAGATGAACTAGGAAGAACTTGACTTTTTTTTTTCCAATATGGATGTCCCATTGTTCCAACTAGAAGAATTTTATAAAGGCTGTTTTTCTTCATTGTATTCTTTTTAGACCTTTGCAAAAGTAAATTGGCTCTATTTGTATGGCTCTATTTCTGAAATCTTGATTCTGTTCCATTGATCTGTATAAAACCCTTAGCACGGTTTTGAGCACTATAGCTTTCTGTTGAGTCAGCTCCAATTCCTAGTGATCCTAGTCCTGCACCATCCTCACCATTGTCATGCTTGTGCCCATTGTTAAAGCCGCTGTGTCATTTCATCTCATTAAGGGTCATTCTCTTTTTTTACTTACCCTTTCCTTTACAAAACCTTTTCCAGGTACTGGTCTCTCCTGATGACATGTCCAAAGTGCATGAGACTGTTAGTGTACTGTTGAAATTGCTTGTGAATTACCTTCAGCAAAATTTTGCATGTGTGTGATATTAATAATTCTGTTCTATAATTTCTCCATCCTGATCGGTTTCTTTTCTCTGGAACGTGCACAAATTCAGATCTCTTCTAAATTCCCTGTCTTAGATGAGTGAGTGCTTCCACTGCTGTATCAGTTTTTGAAACATTTCAAATCCTACAATTTCTGGAGCCTTGCTTTTTGGCTGATGCTTTCAATGCAGCTTGGCCTTCGTCCTTCAATACCATGGGTTCTTAATCAACCTCTTAAAATGGTTCAACATTGACCAGTTCTTTCTGGTACAGTGACTGTATATTCCGTCCGCCTGCTGTTGATACTTCCTCCATCACTCACCATTTTGCCCATAGGCGTCTTTATAGTCAATTATTAAAACAGTGTAGTCACTCATAACTTATCTCTTCAGGTTTGTTTTGGCTATTCCACTATTTTCCACAGAAATTTAATAACCTATTGTCTATACAAACTAAATATTTGCTGGAATTTTTATTAGAAATGTGTTAAATCTATAGACCAGTTTGAATAGAATTAACATCTTTGCTAATTCTTTGTTAATGAGGCATTCAATCTATGCACATTTTCTTTCCAATTATCTAGGTCTTCTTTGATATCTTTTATCAGCATTTTATAGGTGTCAGGATATAGTTTCTGTACATATTTTATGTGTATTTTGTTAATTATATGTAACTGACATGAATTTTTAAATTGCATTGACTCCTTTCTAACACAATTTGAATAATAATAACACCAAACTTATTAGAATACAAGATTGTAGAACAGAAGTTTGTTGTTGTTCAAGTTCCTTAGTATTGTCTACAGTCATGGGGTTTATACTTTTCAACATTTTTGAGCGATCTTATGCAGCAGATTTACCCAGTGAAATGAGTTGTTTGATCTCTTGACTGCTGCTTCTGTGAACAGTGATTGTGGATCCAACAAGATGAAATCCTTGACAACCTCAATCCTTTCTCTTCATCATGATGTTACCTATTGGTAGAGGGGTGAGGATTTAGGTTTTCCTGACATTGAGTTGTAATCTGTACTGAAGGCTTGATCGTCGTCAGCAAGTGCTTCAAGCCCTCGCTTTCACCGAGAAGGTTGTGTCATCTATGTATCGCAAGTTGTTAGTAAACCAATCCTGGTGTGACATTCTTCTTCATATCGGAAAGCTTCCTGATTATTTGCTTAGCATATAGATTGAATAAGTATGGTGAGAGGATAAAACCCTGATGCACACTTTTTTATATTTTAAATCATACATTATTCTCTTGTTCTATTTGCACAACTGCTTCTTGATCCTTGTAGAAGTTCCGTATGAGCACCATTAAATGTTCTGTAGTTCCCATCTTCTCAAGGCTATCCATAGATTATTATGGTTCACAAGGCAAAATGCCTTTGCATAACCAATAAAACACAAACATCTTTCTGTTATTCTCTACTTACAGCCAAGAGTCATCTGACATCATCAATAATATTACTTGTTCCACATCCTTTTCTAATCCAGCCTGAATTTCTGACAGCTCCCTGTCAATGTACTGCTGCAACCACTGTTGGATGATCTTTTTTTTTTGCCATCATCATTTTATTATTTTTATTTTTTAAATCATTTTACTGGGGACTCATACAACTCTTTTTCACAATTGGTACTTGTTAGATGATCTTAAGCAAGTGTTTACTTGCATGTAATTTTAACTATATTCTTCTATGATTTGTGCATTCTCTTGGGTCCTCTTTCTTTGGAATGGGTACAAATGAGGATTTCTTCTAGGCAGGCTAAATAGCTATCTTCCAAATTTCCTGGCATAGACCAGTGAGTGCTTCCAGTGCTTCACCAGCTTGTTAAAACAATTCAGTTGGCATTCCAACAATTCCTGGAACCTTGTTTTTGGCTAACGCTTTCAGTGCAGCTTGGGCTTCTTTCTTTGAATTATTGGTTCTTGCTCATATTCCACCTCGTGAAACGGTTGACTATCATTAGTTCTCTTTGGTGCAGTGACTGAGTATTCTTTCCATCTTCTTTTGATCCATCTAACATCAGCAATGATATTATTTGTTCCACATCCTCTTTGGAATCTGGCCTGAATGTCTGGCAGCACCCTGTCAATGTATTGCTGTAACTGAGGATGAATGATCTTCAGCAAAATTTTACTTGCATGTGATAGCTTTAATACTGTTCTATAATTTGTGCATTCTTTTGTGTCACCTTTCTTTGGAATGAATTTACTGAAATGATTTTTCTGCATCAATTGATGTTATCATTTGGGTTTTCCTCTTAAGGCTGTTAATATGGTGAGTTACATTGCATTGGTGGAATGAAATCCACTTGGGCATAGTGTAGTATTCTCCATATATACATTACCGAATTTGGTTTTTATACCTAATATTTTCTTGAGTATTTTAACATCTTGCTATTGAATCTTGATATTAAATATTGATATGTAGTTTTCATTTCTTATTAATGTCTTTGATCTTGTATCAGAATGATGCCAACCAGTTAAAGTTATCTGGGAAGCATTCCTCTTTTGTTTTCTTGTCTGGAAAAGATTTCATAGAATTGTTTGGTAGAATTTTCTAGTGAACATATACTCCTGGAGTGTTACTTTTGGAAACCTTTAAACCTTATTAGGGAAAAGAAGTCTGAAAGAGAAATGAAAAAGGCATACTATGTACTATTTACAATAACCAGCACAAAGATGAAAAACTAAGATAATGCACTGAGCAGTTAGTCAATTTCATAAACACAAACAAAATTTGAGACCACTATTATAAAGAAAAATTTAAGAAGAATGGTTGTCACACTGAAAGAAACAGAGTTTGAAGGCTACAGCGAGGAGTCCAGGGAGAAAGGAGGAAAGAAAAGAAGGGGGCAGAAAACAAATAACAAATTAAAAATAATTGCATAGTCCAGGAACTATACCATAGCCACCAGAAATTTTGCCAAAAAATAAAATTAAAGCTCAGGAACATGCCCAAGGTTTCACTCCCTAAGTGGACGATTTAGATACAGGCATACCTCCAAAGCCCTTGGCTGTTCCTATATACCGTACCTGTTAACTGTTGCCATTGAGTTGATTCTGACTCAAAGCAACCCTACAAGAGAGGGTAGAACTACCCCATAGGGCTTCCAGCACTTCTTTCTGGAAGCAGATTGCCTGAACTTTCTTCTGCAGAGGTACTGGTGGGTTCAAAGTGCTTGTGGGTTCTAACTGCTGACTTTTCAGTTAGCAGGTGAGTGTTTAGCAACTCCCCAACATACTGTGCCATTAGTTCATGGAATTAGAGTTACACATGACTGGCATCTGCTTGATTCTTCCTTTGTCTCATCTTTTCTCTTTCAGGACCCCTCTATTTACTGAACGCTGAGGAAATCGCAGAAGAAATAGGGAATATGTGGAGGACGATCTATAAACTGACCAAGACCTTAGTTGATGTACCAGCACCCAAACGCTTAGCAGAGAATGTGAAAATCAAGATTGATAAGTTCAAGCAGCACATACCAATTCTGACCATCTCCTGCAACCCAGGAATGAAAGATCGGCACTGGCAGCAGGTCCCTGTCATTACCTACCCCCAGTCAGCCCTTACCCGGTCATGGTATCCCTTTGGAAGGTGGCAAACACTACCAGGTCATTAGTGCCTGATTGTTCTGAAAGGAAAAGCTCATCCCATCCAAGAGAGCGATAATGAGGGTGATGGTCTTTGAAGGAAGTAAATGGGTAGAAGATGAGTGGAACTGCCTGCCTCTCCATGTAAATGGCATATTGTTGGGAGAGACCAGTCCCTGGAGAAGGACATCATGTTTGATAACGTACAAGGACAGCGTAAAAAGAGAATTGTGGCTACAGTAATGGGCTCAAGCCTGGGAATAATTGTGAGGATGGCACAGGGCCAGGCAGCGTTTCAGTCTGTTGTGCACAGGGTCGCTATAGATTGGAACTATGTCGATGGCACAGCAACAACCATATGAATAGGTTAACTATGTTCTTTGCTGGTGGTTGAGTATTATTCCAACCAGTGGTCACACACACACACACACACACACACACACACACCTCCTTGTCTGCTTTTTTAAGTAAATGGCTACAGAGGGTTCCAAAAAGCTACTGAACCCCAAACCTGACCCTATATAGGATTTCCAAAATTGTAAACCTTTACTTGTATGGACAGCCTCATCGTTTTCCCACTGAGTGTCTGGTAGGAGGTTTGAACTGCTGACCTTGCCATTAGCAGCCCACGTCTAACCCATAGCACCACCAGGGCTACAGGAGGAGGAGCCTTGCTTTGTTCCTAAGATACACAAAAGAGGCTGCTTGATGTAGGATACACAAAAGATAATCCCTGCTTAGGCTGCATTTAGTGTGGAGTTGAATCAGCAAACAGACTGCTTCAGAAGTAATTTTGTACTTTACAGTCCTTGGAGTCTATAAATGAGAATAATAAATATTCTCTCTAAAAATAGTTGGATTTTAATAAGCAACCAAGTGTGAAGGTTTCAAGTGTGGTGTGAACACTAAGCTGAAAAACGACAACTCACTGTATTTCTAAAATAATTGCCTCAAGAGCTAGCAATGGCTTTGCAGGGTGTCCCCTACCAGAGGACTGCTCTATGTGTGGGTAAGATAAGGTTAGCTTTCTATGGGCAGATTCCTCTCTGAGTTGGCCTGGAATCCTTGTCTTAGAACCATGTAAAAGAATTAGTAAGAGCATTTTGTAGCGAGGCGCTACTTCCAGTTTCTCAAAAAGCCCTGGGGCCTAAGGAAAGTGTGGAATGATTTAAAGGCAGAGACCATGGGGATCAGCTTCTGGTCTTGAAATGCCCTAGCAGAGGGGACTGCACGGGCTTTGTGCTTGTCCTTGATGCTCATAGGTCCCTCTCCCGATAGACCCAGTCTATCTGAGCCTTCTTTTTTGCCATTGCCTTCAGTGAAACTTGAACTTTTCTTAAGTACCATTGATTTTGATCATATGCTACCTCTTAAGTGGTTGAATAATTGGTCAGTTCTTTTTGGTACGGTGACTTTATGTAGGCCCTTCAATTATCTTTTAAAGCTTCCTGCATCGTTTAATATTTTGCCCATAAAAACTGGGGGAAGGAGGGGGAAAAGAGGAGCTGATACCAAGGGCTCAAATAGAAAGCAAATGTTTTGAGAATGATGATGGCAACAAATGTACAAATGTGCTTGGGATAGATGTATGGATTGTGATGAGTTGTATGAGCCCCCAATAAAATGATTTTGTTTAAAAAGAAAGAAAAAGATAATGGCAACATATGTACAAATATGCTTGATAAAATATATGTATGGAATGTTATGAGCTGTAAGAGATTCCAATAAAATGATTTAAAAAAACTAAAAACCAATCTCATTGCCATGCCATTCATCCAACTCATGATGACCCTCTAGGACAGGGCAAAACTGCCCCTGTGGTTTTCTGAGACCATAACTCTTTTTATTTTTAAATAAATCATTTTATTGGGGGCTCTTACAGCTCATAACAATCCATATATCCATTGTCTCAAACACATTTATACATAGGTTGCCATCATCATTTTTGAAACATTTGCTTTCTACTTGAGCCCTTGGTATCAGCTCCTCTTTTTTTCCCCTCCCTCTACCACCCTCCCACCCTCATGAATCCATGATAAATTATAAATTAATATTATTTTTATATATTACACTATCTGCTGTCTCCCTTCATCCACGTTTCTGTTGTTTGTCACCCTGGTAGGGAGAGGGAGGCTATATGTGGATCATTGCAATCAGTTCCCCCTTTCTTCCCCACCTTCCCCCTACCCTCATAGTATCGCTACTCCCAATTCTGTTCCTGAGGGGTTTATCTATCCTAGATTCCGTATGTTAAGAGCTCTTATCTGTACTGCCTATAAACTCTGGTCTAGCTGGATTTGTAAGATAGAACTGGAGTCATGATAGTGGGGGAGAAGCACTAAAGAACTAGAGGAATGTTGTGTGTTTCATCAGTGCTATACTTGGCTGGCTTGTCCCTTCCTTGTGACCCTTCTGTGAGGGGATGTCCAATTGGCTACAGATAGGCTTTGGGTCTCCACTATAGCCCCCCTTTTTCACATCTATATGATTGGTTGTTTGGGGTTTTCTGATACCTGGTACTTGATCCTGTTGACACCTCATGATCACACAAGCTGGTGTGCTTCTTCCTTGTGGGCTTTGTTGCTTCCCTGCTAGATGGCCCCTTGTTTATCTTCAAGCCTTTAAGACCCCAGATGCTATATCTTGTTATAGCTGGGCACTATCAACTTTCTTCACCATATTTGCTTATGCATCCATTTTGTCTTCAACGATCATGTCAGGAAGGTGAGCATCCCAGAATGCCAGGTTATTAGAACAAAATGTCCTTGTATTGAGGGAGCAGAGCACTTGAATAGAGGCTCAATGTCCATCTGCTACCTTATATTTAACATATAAATATATGTATATAGACCTATATACCTATCATTATATACAAATATATTTACATAAGTATATGCCTGTATTTATACCTCTATAAATGTTTAACTCTTAGCTCTTCCCTCTATTTCCTTTTACTTGCTTCCTGTCCCACTATCATGTTTGACTTTCATTAGACCTTCAGTAATTCCTCTCGGCTACATTGCAATTGATCAAGCCTCACAGGTATTCTACACCCTCCTTGCCATTGATTTAAGATCACTTGTTGTTCCCTTGTCTCTGGGTTTGTTGGACTACCCTTCCTTTCCCCAACCTTCCCCTCTCCCATGTCCCTCTGGAACCATCAGCCCCTTTGTTTTCCCCTCAGGATTGTTTATTTTGCCTATTTTATATAGTTAAACATGAAAAAAAGAAGAAAAAGAAAAAAAGCCTATAAGTAGCTCCAGGTCTTTCTGTTGACCCTTATGAATATTTTCCAGTTGAGTTAGATGAGGTGCCAAGCCCTGCCTCTGAAGCCTATTTTTGGGATTCCTTGGGGACTTCATTGCTTTGTTCCCCTTGCTGCTCTGTTTTTATGTTTTACCCCAGTTGGGGGGTGGGGGGCAGGGGGGCTTTGTTAGACTGGGCACAATTCCCAGTGTCTCCAAACATAGGTCAGTAAGGGGATGCCATGTCTTTTGGTGTTGCCAGACCTGTGGCCCTCTCTGTGCTTTGAATGCTTTGAGTAGGAATGTAGTCCTCGAAGCCTGGTGGGCCAGGATACGGTTCTCTTTCTCTCTCTCTCTCCTTCCCTCTTAGTTTGTTCCCCTGTGAGACCATAACTGTTACAGAAGTAGGAAACCCCCTCTTTCCCCCATGGAGCAGCTGGTGGTTTTCAATTGCTGACCTTGCAGTTAGCAGCCTAACATATAACTACTGCGGCACTAAGGCACCTGTATTTTGTGCATAAAATCCTTCAATATTACATTCTGAAGCTTAAATTTTTCTTGTTCTTTCAGTTGGACAAATGTCAATCATATTCTTTTAGTTTTCTAACTCCAGATCTTTTATTTCATTATAATACTTTATCTTCTTTAAACTATCCTTTGAAATCTCAGTCTTTAGCTCCATCATTTTTTATATTTTGAGCTTCAAGTTGAACTTGTGCATTGTCAACTAATATTCTGTTCTGCAACCAAACCCTGGCCTTGATCTGACAGATAATATTGAGTTCTTTAATATCTCTTTCCACAGATTTAGATTTGATTTCTGTGTATATCATCAGGTGAGGTCCACATGTGTAATCACTGCTGCTGAAAAAAAGATAATTTACAATTAATGAATTATTGGTCTAGCAAAATTCTATGATGTGATTTCCAGTGTAATTTCTGTCACCAAGCTTATATATTCCAACTACTGATCCTTCCTCATTGTTTTTTAAGTTGACAAGAATTTTCCTTTTTTTGTTGTTTTTGTCTTTGACATTAAGGATTGGTGAGTAATTTTAATTAATAATCATATTAACTGGCCTCCCTTAAAGGTATGTAAATATCCCATCACTGACAGCATTGGATTTCAGGATAGATTGTGAAATGTTCTTTCCTCTTGAATTTGTTAATCCCAGGATAGTAGAATCTATTATTAGTTGAGCCAAAATTGCCATTATGTCCATTTTAACTCCCAAATGCCTAGGATCTCAATCTGTATGCATTTCATTTCATTGTTGCCAACTTCCAATTTTCCTAAACTCCATGTTGTGATAATTAATGGATGTTTGTAGGTGTTTCATCTCCTTTGGAATCTTCTCATTTTGATTATAGTCCAGGAAACCCTATGAGGAAATTTTTTTTCTGACCTGAGTGATCTGGGTGATCTGAGTCCAACTCAACAGTTTACAACCGGGACATTTGGCTATCTAAATTTAGGTTTAATCCTAGTTTAATAAAATTCTAATTAAATTTTTAAAACCAAGCCTCTTGTCTCAATAGCCACAGCAGTTGTTGCATCAGACAAGATAGAACACTTGTTTTAACACAGAAGGCCCTGTTAAATAACCTTGAACAATAAACATTCATTTTTCTTCTTCTGTTTTTTTCTTTCCCAGATCAGTGAAATTGTTGGCTCTGAAATAAAGCCCAATGAAACGACTTGCCTCCAAAATATGTTGGAATTTGGATTTGGAAAATTCATAGAAAAGTAAGGCTCCACTTTTCATTCAGGAGATTGTTTTTCTTTTCTTTTTTCTAAGTATTTGTAACCCAAGCCCAATTTTCTCTAATCAATTCTGATTCATAAAGCCCTATAGAGCACAGTAGAACTGTCCCATATATCTGTGTGGAATCAGGCTGACATATTTCCCTGCTATGAAGTAGTGGCTTGAGCGTTGGAACTGCCAGCCTTTTGGTTAATGACCAAGAACTTTAAACACTGTGCTACTAGGGGTTAAGGCCATGTGATGATATGACTGGTCCCCTATTGGGTGTTTGTAGGGTTTCCTTCTGGTTTGGGATGTCTTAAGACTTTTTACAAGGACCCTGTTGGCACAGTGGTTAAAATAGTTGTCTTCCAACTGAAAGGTTGGAAGTATGAAGCTATGCAGGGAAATGAAGTACACAATCTTAGAAACCCTCTAGTGCTATTCTACTGTGACCTGTAGGGATGTTATGAGTTGGAATCAGCTTAATGGCCATATTATAAGATTTTTAAATCCTTTCATTACTGTGGGGCTTACAGTGCCTACATTACAGGGCTTACATTTTCTACCTCTGGGTTTAGTGGGAATTTCTTGTCCCTCTTTGAGTGCATGCTGCCATTTGCTGGAGGCCTGTATAACTGTGTGAATCTGAAGAAATGGGCCTCATTCCACCAATCCTGGAACCAGAGACCTCTCAGGGAATGTATGTTTTGACCTCTTGGGAAATGTATGTTTCATTAATTCTATCAAAATTCATTTTACTTAAAAACAAATTATTTCCATTCTATTCAACATGCCTTCCAATATTGAAAACACATGGTTTCAACAAAAATCAAAGCAGAAAATAGTTGATACCAAGGGCTCAAGTAGAAAGCAAATATTTTGAGAATGAGATGGCAACAAATGCACAAATGTGCTTGACATAATGGATGGATGTATGGATTGTGATGAGTAGTGTGAGCCCACAATAAAATGATTTTTCTTTTTAAATGTGATGTCTCCTTCAGCTGACTAGCAACTAGTAAAGCCTAACTACTAGTAAAGCCTAACTTTCAGTTGTACATATGCGGGCAGGTTGTCATTAAAAAATTGAGTTCAAAGATTTTATTTCAAAGAGAATATTTCTTAAGTTCTTTGACCTTGAACTCCATGGATCACAACAGATGCTTGCCTGATGCTTGCTGACTTCTCTTTGCCAAGTGCCCCTAGGATTTGTAATACTTGAATTGACAGTTTAAAGCCAAAATTTTTCAGAAAGCTGTCTCCACCATGGAGACACCTGGATTTGAGACACTGTGACACAGTAGAGTTCCGGTCTCACCCGACATAGTGGTCCCCAGGCTGTGGTCCTCCAACCAGCTGCATGGGTGTTTTCAGTACTGGAAGGCATTTTGATCATGATCAAATGGGATTTATTCTAGGAATGCAAGCTTGGTTAAGCATTATAAAATCAGTCAATGTCAGACACCACATTAATAGAACAAGAGAAAAGAACCACAGTTGATGCATAAAAGGCATTTGTTAAAATTCAGCACCTTTCTGCATAAAAATAAATAATGACTCTTAATAAGATAGGAATAAAAAGTAAGTTCCTCAACATAATTAAGGGCATTTAAAAAAAACCAAAGGCCAACATTACACTCAATGGAGAAAGATTGAGGCTTTTCCTCATGAAAATATGAATAAAGGGGAATGCCTACTTTCACCATTCCTATTTAATATTGTGCTAAAAGTCCTAACAGAGTAATAAAGCAAGAAAAAGAAATAGAAGGAGCAAACGATTCACATGCTGTAGCTACATACATTCCACTCCACTATTCAGCTGGCCAGTCCTGCTTCTCAAGCAATTGAATCTCCTGCCTGCATGGATGCTCAGATTGGGCATAAGAACTGCAAACACACAAGGGCCACGCACCTTTGTTCTGACAAGATGGGCATGACTGGCCATCTGTACCTGCATCATCCTACCACTTGGCTTCATGTGGGGCCAGCACCATGAAACTCAAGCATGCACAGGCAATAACCCTCATTTGCCAGAGGTCCATCCCATGCTTGACTTTGGAAACTCCATGTGTAGCCTTTCGCTCAACCCTCTGCCCATAAAGATATGAGTAAGATATCAGAAGGTGAGCAAGAAGGGAGAAATAAAACTGGGGGAAAGAAGTCTAGTTTTAGTGCCCTTACAACAACTGGAGGTGATTTTCTAGCCCCGGGCGACATTTGCTCACATCTGGAATTATTGTTGGCTGTTGAACCTGGAAGAGGGGTGGGAGGATGGTGAGGTCTACTACTGACAATAAGCAGAGGTCAGGAATGCTGCTAAACATCCCACAGTACACAGGACAGCTCCCCCAACGAAGAATTATGCAGCCCCAAGTGTTGACCGGCTGAGGCAAGAAACCCTGCCCAACTGGTGATAGCTGGCGAATCCTAGATGGGGCTCATAAACTTGCTGGTGCAATGAAAGTCTTTGAATTTTTCTGAAGGCAGTTGAAGTCTTTCCTTTGGCATGTTTTCTCTGCTTTTCCTATTGCTGATGCTGCTCTGTTTTCTCTATAGATTGGAACCCATTGGTGCAGCTGCCAGTAAAGAATATTCTTTGGAGAAAAACTTGGAGAAAATGAAGTTGGACTGGGTTAATATGACGTTCAATTTTGTGAAATACAGAGATACTGTGAGTCTGAATCCAACTGGCTAGCCCCTGAAAGTAGGCCATTTTTTATGTAGTGTATCACAGAGGTGATTCAGAATAGCAAGAGGAATCTAATCTCTAACATCTAGGATATTTCCTCTGCTTTGACTTCCTCTCAGTCACTACTCATGGATGCATTTGCACATCTGAAAGGTCTTTTGATTCAAAGCAAGAAGCTTTTTTAGTGGAAGAGCGCTGAACTGACCTCTTGGATTAAGATCTCCTGCGAAGGGCTCAAGTGAGCCCTGGGGAGGTTGTAGATTAGACATTGGGCTGCTAACCACAAGATTGGCAGTTTCAACGCACCAGCAACTCCATAGAAGAAAGACGTGATAGTTTGCACTCTCGGAAACCCTAGGGAGCAGTTCTACTGTGTCCTATAGGTTAACTATGAGTTGGAATGAACTTGGCAGGAAGGGGGGGTGAGCTTAAGGAAGAAACCAGTCTTACAGAAGCGTATCTCAGCGGACAAGAGCCTCTGCTTGGCTCGTCAAAAGATAATATATTCAAGAGTCATCTGGGGATCTTGTTAAAGTGTAGCTTGTGATTTCTCAGGTCTTGATGGGCCCTGAGGTTGTGCAGTTCAAACAGGTTCTCAGGTGATGCTGGAACTGTGATCTGTGGACCACCCTTTGAATTTCAAGGGTGTAGATATCATTGAGCAGGAGAAAGATGTGGCAGTCTGATTCTGGAAAGATTGGAAGACTAGGAAATCCTATGAGGCAGTTCTACTCTTTCCTGTAAGGTCACTGTGAGTCAGAATCAAGTCAGCCTTTTGATAATTCCATGTGTGTCAGAATCAAACTGTTCCATCGGGTTTTCGATGGCTGAGATTTTGGAAGTGGGTCACCATATTCCCTGGACCCAATTTACTCACCTAGACACAGACTTGAAGGTACTGAACGTAGGAAGGTCAAACGGCCCAGGGCACAGACCCTTGTCAATAAGCCTCCCACTAGGACCCAGGATGAAAAGTGCTGTCCACATGGACTAACTTTAAGGCACAGTTGGTGTTGATGTTTTGTGCTGGTGCGTTGATTCTGGCTCAAGGTGACCCTATAGGACAGAATAAAACTGCCTGTAGGGTTTCCTAGGCTGTAATCTTTACAGGAAAGAGCCCTGGTGGCACAGTTAGATAAGCATTGGACTGCAAACCACAAGGTCAGTGGTTCAAATCCACTAGCCACTCTGAAGGAGGAAGATGAGGCTCTTTTCCCTTAAAGATTTACAAAGCATTGGGAACCCCGTGTAGGCTCTCTAGGAGTCAGAATCAACAAAGTGTTCATGAGTTTGTTTGGGGTTTGGACTCTTTAAGGTTGCAGATTGCTAGTTCTTATTCCCTGCAGAGCAGCAGGTGGGTTTCGCCCTCCATCCTTTCACACAGCAGCTTACCCACAGCACCATATGGTCCAGTACATGTTCAAGACAGAGGTTCCTGAACTTTCTTGGTCTACAATACCTTTTGTGTCTAGGTACATTTTCTATGGTGCCCCTAGACCAAAAGAAATACCTAGAAGCTTCATTTATTAGTTCTTAGCAACTTAATACACTTTTATGTCTTCCCAGTTAGTATCTGATTAAAAAATAGATATTCACATAAATAAAAAATATTTAAAATAGTATTGGCATTTGATTTTTAAAATAACCACACTTATCCACTGCCTTTGCTGCAGTGCCATGGGGTACATTGGTACGCAGGTGTAGGCCTCACCTGTCAGATTAGCAGCTGATGCTGCCTGAGGGGAGAGCCAGGAAGCAAGAGAGCAGAGGGGTAGCAGCATAGGAAAAGAAGCAGGATGCTCACCCACCCCAGTTATCTGAGTTGATGTCACAGTTGATTTCTACAGGGGAAGTGGAAACGAAATGTCTTTAATGTTTTCAAGAAAGAAAATAAAAATATCATCCCCTTCAAGACAGATTCATCTCCCACTGAAGTGGAGATCTGAACTATGAGTCAGTTAGCACCAGGAGTGAAGTTCTCATGATTTGACTGGGATGGGCGTCTTTATTTCCAGGATACAAGCATCTTGTGTGCAGTTGATGACATCCAACTGCTTCTCGATGATCATGTTATAAAGACCCAGACCATGTGTGGCTCGCCGTTCATCAAACCAATAGAAACCGAATGCCGGGTAAGAGGAACCGAGCTTGAGTATTTTGGGAATGGCCCATTAGTCCTAGATTTCTTGGAAGAAGTTGAAGGTGCTACACTTCAAGTTCAATTAGCAAAGAAATCCACTTTCTCACGACAGGGGGAAAAAAACTAGCAGTAGCCACCCAACTAACTGTATGGCCAATAAGCCTTTGCAAGAGATTTTTCCAAAGAGAAGATGAGATGCTTGAATGTACCAAATAGAATACATTTGGAAATTATATGAATATCCTATGGGCTATCATAATCTCAAGTGCAAAGTACATGATATGAGGGATTTGGGCCACTTTTGCTTATTATATGTGAGACATTGTGTAAGCTAAGGGTGTAGACTTGGAGGCAGACTAGCTGGGTTCAAATCTGGGCTCTGACACATATTGGTCAGGGTACTTGAACTGTTATGTGCCAGTTTCTACATCCAGAAAATGAGGTTTGTAATAATGGCTACCTCCTAAGTCTGTCAAGAAGATTAAATTCATTTCAAATATAAAAAGTACTCTGAATAGTATCTGGCACATTTTAAGTATCTATAAACATTATTATTATGGTTCTGCTAGAATATGAGCCCTATGTCTCATTCATTGCTATGTCCACAGTACTTGCAACCGTGGCCAGAACATAGAGGGCCCTCAATGAGTATTTGTAAAATGAATGAATGAGTTCATGGGCCTGTGGTGTCAAGGGCAGGTTACTGATGTAGATATGAAATGCTACATTTACAGAAGTGGGAGGAAAAGCTTGTTCGTGTGCAGGAAATCTTGGATGCTTGGTTGAAATGCCAAGCCACCTGGCTGTACCTGGAGCCTATCTTCAGTTCAGAGGACATCATAGCCCAGATGCCAGAAGAAGGCAGGAAATTTGCCATCGTTGATACTTACTGGAAGTCAATCATGTCTCAAGCAGTAAGTTTTTAGTCCTTAGC